GCCAAACTGCCCCCCGGTTGTGAATCACGGGGCTAAAAAGACGAGAGGCAGGGAAGTCGGGCTGTAGTCCAGGTCTGTCCCTTCAGTTGGGCAGAGGGGCCACCGGAGAGGAAGTAACAGCTGGAGGGCAGTGAAAGGCTTCCTCTGGATCTCTCATGCCCCTTTGTTTTTCTGGAAGTTTTTTTTATAGACAAGGCAGTCATCAGAGTGGCTCACACCCATACCAGCAAGCGACTTGCCAAGGTTTCTGGCAGCCTTGTCCCTGGTTCCTCTGCCCGGGAGGTCACAGCAGCCCCATGGGGGCTTCCAGGAGGACCTAGCACTGACTTTTTATTGAGACCAGGAACACCGTGTCCTGTAGCAGGACTCAAAGAGGCCATGCTCCTGAGAGGTGGTTAGTGGATGAAAGTGGGCCCCAAGGGGCTCCTCTTAACTGCAGCAACATTGTTGGGGAGCCCTGCACGTTTGCATAGGTAACTTCCCGAGACATGGGCCACCTTCAGACATCACTTTCTTATGATGGGGGTAAATCAGAACACAGGCATCTGGGGACGCACTTGTGGAATGAAGGTAAGGGGGAAAAGTGGTAGAGGCTGGGTGGGGGTGGGGGTGGGAGGAGTGTTCTCTGTGGAACAAGGAATTGATCACCTTTTTTTGGCATCTGGGTGGGTGGGTAGGTGAAGGTTGTGCAATGCCCAGGGTCAGAGCACCTGGTTCACCTGTGGTCCTCCAGCAACCCTCTCCCACCCCGCCCCCCGCCCCCTCCTCTCTGTGCAGTGGGTGGAGTCGCCCTCTGGTGGAGGAGACTAGTATTTGCGCCATCCACGCTGGTCTGAAGAGCTTGTGTTCAGGTGCCAGTGGGTCGGTCCTCTGGGTTGGCTCAGGCCTCCTCATCTTTCCTTGACCACTGCTGTGGTGTCCTTGTTCTTAAGATACCCTCCAGTCCCTCTCTCACTGCCTGCTAGAGGGATCTTCCCGCAATGCCGCAATTCTGTTCCTGGCCCTGTTCCCAGGCACGACGAGCCTGTTCCTCTGCAGTGCCCTTCCTGAGCGTTTTTTCCTTTTTCCTTATATAAAATCCTATTCAGCCTCAAGACTCAGCCCAGATGTTCCTCCCCAAGCTCAGTAGGGTCCCATCTTCTCTCTGCTGCCCCTGCTCCTGTCCCCATCATGGGACACTGTCACTCTGTCATAATTTATATGCTCGTCTCCTGCACCAGAGGGGGAGTCCCCAGAGGGTATCATCATTGTCTTAATCTTTCCCGCACCCCGGGGCAGTGCCTGACACTGGTGAGTGCTCAGCAGACACTGGCTGAAGGCGTGATTCGATGGGATCAGGGTAGTGCGGGGTGCTCAACCTGAGGGGTCAGACGGACCACAGGCTAACTCTGGCTCTACCATGGAGCAGCTTTGTGGCCTTGGGCAAAGATGCCTCTTTCTGAGCGCAGCCCCCCTCAGGGGTTGCTGCAGGATCAAATGGGATGTAGGTGGTGTCAAGTGGCGGGTGCTCTCTGGACGTCTAGGATCCTGAGTCAGGGACCCCACCTCTTTTGCAGGGGTCTTTCTTCTGCGACTTGGTACTCATCTACTTCATCAAAAAGAGCCACTTTTACCGAGACAAGAAATATGAGGAAGTGAGGTCAGTTACGCTTCCTCCCAGCGGCCCTAGGGGAGCCCACTAGGTCAGCCTCTCCCCCTCCCGGGCTCAGAACTCTTACCCTGGCTTTATGTTGGCATTTGGCGGGTAGAGGCAGGGCTGAATACGGGGAGCTCCCTTGGAAGGGCTGGGTAAGGCGGAATGTCCTGAGTCCCGGCTCTACAAAACTGGATTCTGCTTCAGAGCAGCTGGCAGGAGACAAGACCAGCCAGGCCATGGGCAGGAGACCTGGTTTCCAGGCCTGGCCCTGCCACTGTCTCCCCAGGTGACCTGGGACCAGTCCCAGGCCGCCTTGGGCCTCAGTTTCTCTCTCTGTGAGATGAGAGTGTTGGTTTACATACAGTGCCTTCCAGCAGCTACAATTTTAGGGTTCTTGGACTTGGCAGTCCTGGTGAGCTGGGGTTGAGGGAAGCTGGAGTGGCAAGGGAAAGAAAAAAAAACGGATTCCCCCCACCTCACTCTGGGGGCCTAGGGTGTGTGTGTGTGTGTGTGTGTGTGTGTGTGTGTGTGTGCGTGTGTGTGTGTGTTCGTGTGTTCAGAGGAGCTGGGATGGGAAATGCACGGGGCGCTGCTCCCTCACTCCCACCCCAACCTGGGACAGCGCGGAGGGCCAGCCTGCATCTCTGCCTGGACTGAACCCCAGCCCTGGTTCTCAGGCTGTGAGCCCTGAACCCTGACTGCACCTGCCACCCATGCTGAGCTGCTGGGGGAAGAGGGGCGCCCCCTGCAGGGCGAGTGGCTCACCAGTCCCAGGGAGGAGGTGGGACCCACAGGCCAGGGTTAATGGGTCATGTCCTGCCCAGGGACCTAGAGGTCCTCGCCCGAATGGCAGAGTCCTCGCAGCAGAGCGTGGCCCCGGACGCGGCGGGGCTGGCGGAGCAGCCAGAGGTGCAGGATGGAGGTGGCGCCCAGGAGAATGGCTGTGTGTGCCGGCAGCTCCTCCAGCCTGCCAGGTGAGGGGCTGCCCAGCCGAGGGCCAGGAACGAGGCCCGCGGAGACAGCCCAGCTGGCTACTGTGCTCCCTGCTCTGGGTGACCTGGCCCCAAGGCAGGAATG